GGTGGTATTTTCGTATTTCTACTGCAAATACTCGCGGAGTTCTTTAGTATATGGAATTGAGTTGACAACCTCCGCCTTTATAAAATAGCGGGACTTCGGCATTAAAAACAGCAGTTCTGAGCATGCGCTGCGCCAATTATCCAATCAGAAACTAGAATTTCTTGTATAAAATAGTATTACATATCCCGCCATATGAAAATCAGCGGAACACGAGACATGCGATTCACGAATTGCGTGAGTAAGCAATAATTGCGTGGAAATTAGCTAATTTTGGGTTTCAGAGGTCAAAGAGCAGACAGCAACATTGCGTAAACTATAAATAAATAAATGAAAGCACTGAAAAATGATCATAATTATATAAATTTTCAGAATAAGAAAAGCTGTTAATTTGGCCTCACTATAAAGCATTTCCTCATTTTTTTTATGAAATTTCTAGTCCCGTCAGGCGGGACAGCGGGACCGCTAGCTACGCCACTGTCGATTTGTAGGCGTAATTTCTGAGTGTACCAATATCGTATTCCACGTGCGCACTATGACTTTGCATGTTTCATATCTTCGGTAATTGGTGAATGCTATATGAAGAGAGCAATATCATCGTTCGATTCAGTGTAATAAATTTCCTAATTCCTGATGATTGTTTTTGTCAATGTTAACATTATAAAATTATGAAATTACTTAATTTTCCGAACAATTTATAAAACCAAACATAACTTCGGCCCCTTGCGATGTATCATCTTTGTAATAATATTGTTCGACCGGGTATTCAAAACACCATTTCTACTGTTATTTCCAAGCTTGTATATAACGTGTTCCAAACTAAATTGGGATTTTCCAAAGTACGCGATTTCGCGTATTTGTTTTAAATTATGCGGAATTTCTCTTTTTTTCCGCAAAATCTTGACAGTTTCCCAAAATATGTGCAAAAATAAAAAAAAATTGCGCAAAAATTGACCTAAAAACCAAGCCATGCGGATTTTCTTCCAACACTACTTTCGCAAAATCGGGTTAAAAATATTAAAAGCGAAAAAAATCGTATTTGTTAACGTATATTTCATATTTTAAAGTAAATTTTGCGTCCAATTACAAATATCCCCAGAAAACAGGAAATCAACCAGAAAATGTTGACTTCACAGCGCAAATATCGGTTTGGTGGTTGCAATATGCGGAATATTTGTATTCTACTATTTTTTCCGCAAAGACGTGATAAAAACAAGGTTTTAGGCAATTTGGGTTAGATAACAGAATATTGATCGCTGGAAGCTATGAAAAGGTTCAGAATTTCTGAACCCTCTGAAATCAATGAGTATAAGCGGAATATTTACCGCGAAGAAAGTACAAGAGGTTCAGAATTTCTGAATCCTGAAAATCTGAAGTCAATGAAGATAAGCGGAATATTTACAGCGAAGAAATCTACAAGGGGTTCAGAATTTCTGAATCCTGAAAATCTGAAATCAATGAATATAAGCGGAATATTTACAGTGAAGAAAGCTACAAGAGGTTCAGAATTTCTGAATCCTGAAAATCTGAAATCAATGAATATAAGCGGAATATTTACAGTGAAGAAAGCTACAAGAGGTTCAGAATTTCTGAATCCTGAAAATCTGAAATCAATGAATATAAGCGGAATATTTACAGTGAAGAAAGCTACAAGGGGTTCAGAATTTCTGAATCCTGAAAATCTGAAATTAATGGATATAAGCGGAATATTTACAGCGAAGAAAGCTACAAGGAGTTCAGAATTTCTGAATCCTGAAAATCTGAAATCAATGAATATAAGCGGAATATTTACAGTGAAGAAAGCTACAAGGGGTTCAGAATTTCTGAATCCTGAAAATCTGAAATTAATGGATATAAGCGGAATATTTACAGCGAAGAAAGCTACAAGGAGTTCAGAATTTCTAAATCCTGAAAATCTGAAATCAATGAATATAAGCGGAATATTGACAGTGAAGAAAGCTACAAGGGGTTCAGAATTTCTGAATCCTGAAAATCTGAAATCAATGGATATAAGCGGAATATTTACAGCGAAGAAAGCTACAAGAGGTTCAGAATTTCTGAACCCCGAAAATCTGAAATCAATGGATATAAGCGGAATATTTACAGCGAAGAAAGCTACAAGGGGTTCAGAATTTCTGAATCCTGAAAATCTGAAATCAATGACAATGAACTATAAGTGGAATATTTATGGCGAAAAAAGTTGAAAAAGGTTCAAAATTTCTGAACCCGCGGAAAATCTGAAATAAATGGCAATGTCAATGAACGTCATAACTCATAATAAGCGGGATATTTACAGCGAAGAATTAAACACGTTCTAGCGGTTCTACAATAGGGTGGCATATTCTATTTTGATAAAATCTTATACGTGATTTGAGGAAGAATTTGCAATGAATGTTGAAAATGCCAAAAATTGTGCTACGATATTTTCAAATATTCGATTCCTCATATACAAGAAATTTTAACCAACCATTTAGATCGACACTAAGCCGTCAAAGGTCTATTTCTACTGCATTCCATGCAAAAAGTATGAACTTTTTTTATGAATGATTATAATTTTCAATAATAATGACCAGAAATTTAATCGTAATGTCATGCACAATTCGCGCATTTTATGTGAAATTAGCAAACTTTTATAAAACTCCGGATACATTTGTAGACTAACATTCTAAAGACGTTCATGATTGGTAAATTATGCAATCGTTTGTGGGAAAATACATTACTATAATATTAAAGACAAAATAGGAGTTTTGTTCATAATCATGAACTTTATATCACGAGGTATTACTATTAATTATAGCGCTATTAATTATATAGGTTGTTCATGTAGGATGCTCGTATAGGCTATTGGCGTATTGCTATAGTGTCGAGGTGCTATCTTTCAAATTTTTGGTCAGCAGGGATGAAACGTTCTGAACTTGGGCAAAATAGGAGTTTTGTTCATAATCATGAACTTTATATCATAATCATGAACTTTTGGCCCTATAAATGCGGCCCCATCATGAACTTCTTATTCATAATCATGAACTTTTGGCCCTATAAATGCGGTTTATAAATGTATGATCAGACACTAGCTGGAACATAATATTACAGTCAGAGTTTATTACATGTATGTATATACGTAGTCAATTCTGAAATGAGACACAAGGGTTTTAATATCGTCAGAACTCTGCGCAAGAAGACACAGTATTCAGTAGCGTAGCCAGCCCGACAATTTAGTCCCACTATACAAATATTTTCGTGTTCACTGACTGTGAAAACAATCAATTTCTAAAGAAATGACTGATGATAATAATTTTGAATTTGCATAGCGGGACTAAATCGTCGGGCTGGCTACGCCACTGACAGTATTACATACGCAGCCTTTAAACAATTGCTATACATTAATATAGTAATAATTATATCATGTAGCCAATTCACTTAATATATCCAGGTAGTGCCAACAATAACAAGCTTTCGTTCGTAGGGATGTAACTACCTGAAAATATAAGGAGAATTTCGACGTTTCGAGCGGCCTTCGCTCAATACGTCGACATTCTCCTTATATTTTCAGATAGTTGCATCCTCACCAACAAAAGCTTGTTACAAGGTTCTAGAAGCTATATTATATAATTGAAAACTTACTCTCTGGCTTCTGTATTTGATGTATTTGACGTATTTGAACGTTACGAATTCACGTTGTTGACATATACGATACGGCAATACCGTCAGACACTCTAATGCAGTGTTATCATTTGGAACAGTTTGTCTCTCTGAATATAAGTTATAAACCATTTGCCGAGCGGAATGAGGAACCAGCAATAACGAATATAATTAAATATCTAAAGAGCAAATATGTGCGCTGAGAATGGCCAGATTGTTTAGACTTTAGACTTCAGAGGAAACCCACGCGCAATACTGGCAAGCTTGCAAATTATAGTGTGCCAATCAGAACATTGCGTGTATTGGTATATCGTCGCTCATTGGCTCGTCTGTCGGTTAATGCTAAATTAACTTTTATTTGAATGACACTTCGCACATTCGCCGTTAGTAATTTGAGAACTCTGATATGGCGGCTGAAACGGCAGAAGCAGACCATGCATTATCATTATACATGTTTTTATATGCGGAGTAAAACGTATTGACAAAGTTTAGTATAATTTTATAGCACACTCTTACAGATTAAGTAAACATTCGACAATGTAACTTATTCTGGGTGCAAGGAGAGTTATCGAAGACTATGTTTTGGAAAGAATTTGCCGTGTGAAAAGTGACGCGCCGTTAGACCTTGAACATTATCTTACGATATAAAGAGGGTGTATAAACTATTTTGGATCCAACCTGGCTTTCAAAGAGTTGTAGCATTAAAGTACGGACATTAGCGCTGAACAGGACTTCACAACGACAACGCTATAGTGAAGGTATGGTGTGCTATAAATACGTTTTGCTGTTTATATATGCATCGTGTTATTCAGTTATTGACTTTATATTAAATACTGTCTTTTGCTCTATAATTTGTCATTTCGCTTATATTCGTTTAGCTAATTAGCTTTAGTTTTATTAAATTTGCATCACGATTTGACAGCTGCATTGTTTGGCCAGTTAATATAAACAAATTGTATCAAAGGAAAAACCTCAGAATGCTTTCATTCGGCCACAATGAACCCAGTGTTAATATTTAATTAACCGTTTTATGCTAAGTCCATCAGGGGCCAGTCAAAGGTGAGTTTATAGCGCCAACCCTGTTAAAATTTAACCTGCTGTTTTAGTTTGTGTATTTCTGCACGTCTGTTTATGTATTTCAAAGCTGCAGAGAAATATTAAAACTCCAATCCAGACATGATCTCTGATAAAATATTTCCAAATTTATAAATAAGCCTGTCAGGAAGTTTGCAAGTTTGCTTTGAATTTTAGCTTAACCAGCTTTGAACAACGAGCCCCAGATAGCTAAAATTTAAATGCCACAGACTCAATCACTGTTGACAAATTGGTCAGACCAAGCCTTGTGTCAATGGTTCAAGCCGGTTAGTTATTAAAATGAGTATATATTAAAACATAAGAATAAGATGCAATTATGCAATTTTGGTGATTTGAACTGATGAAACATATTTATTATACATAATACCAGTCGCTCGAATGTCAAGGTGAACGAGAAACAGGGTGGGTGCCACACTCTTTATACTGTAGTTTGCTCATACATGTCCTTGCCTTACTTAGAAAGTATATGTATGTATTGTTCATTCGACATTGGATCGCAATACCAGAGTCAAAGGCTATTTGCCAGACGGTGGCTGACACAAGTTATCCTTGTTTGTTCAATGTGTGGTTAAGTTGTGTAGATGTCTGCCTACTGTGCTAGGTTACATATTGAATCACAAGGTCACTCTTAATTTGTTTTGTCAAGTTGCATTATGCATCTACTTTATTACTTTACTCTGTCTAATGCCATATGATTCTACTTACTCGAGGTCTCCCATGAATGGGTTAAAAACTATTCTGCTGAATTGGGTTAATTGTATGTAATTAGGTTCTGGGATCAGGTCAGCTTTCATACAGTGTTTAAATTGTAGCACTATCAGACGTGGCATTGTCCACCTATAGAAGGAATTTGGTATAAATATTGTTTGTACACAATTCCTGTTTTTTTGGCAGTCAAATCGCCCATTTGGGCACTTTCTCGATATATAAGCAACTGAAATAGCCCAATCATAATACTGAAGCTTAGGGATTGCAAGGACTAAAATATACACTAGCCCATAGCCTACTGCAAATTTCAGACCCTGCTTGACTCCAGTATAGTATCAGTTTACCAGGCATTCTGGAAACCCTTTGCAGTCAAACCCAGAGATTTGTCTTTGGCAAATTTTTATCCAAACGCATGATGAAGTTGTCTCAGTGGACCATATAAACAACCCTTAATACAGTACCGGTATCTATGCAGCAGTTTTTGACATGGATATTTCATTACATAATAAGGGATGAACTGATGATTTGTAATATCAAGAGTCATTGTTTATAATAATTACAATTGTTTTCAAGGTTGCAAAGGGAGACATCAGTCTTGATGAGCTCAAAGTGCTGGCTAAAGAGGTTAAATCAATTAGACCTATTCAAGGGATAATCTCTTCTTTCCTTGGAAAACCATGCGAGATTATAATTGCAAAAGAACTTCCAGAGTGCACAATAGCAGAACAGTTGCTTCGTTTTCCTGTAAGTTTTACAAACCATAGTACACTACTAAGTGATGATATTTCAAATTGCTTAATTATTGTACTAACTTAATTATATTTCGTATTTTTGTACAAGTGAATATGACAAATCCTAATTAAAATTTATTAAAAATAATTTAAATTAAAATAAATTCAGTCCCCAAAACACAAAAGACTTGTGTAAAAATACTAAAACAATTACTTGCCTCAGGCTCGGGGAATATTCACCTCGACTTTGTCTTGGCAAATATTCCCCGATAACCACTTCGGCGAATAATTGTTAAATGTATACAATATTCTAAGCATTGTCAAAGGGGTAATTATGTACTGCAGTTTCCATATTTATAATACAAATACCCATTGACTGACAATGTGCTCAAATGCGCCCGACGTTATTCTTTTACTTTGTCTAATGCCAGATGATTTTACTTGTCAAGGTGTTAGAGTCTGGCAGCTTAATGTGCTAACATTCTCTATCTGTGAATTTCTCCTGTTAATCCATTGACTGGCAATGCGCCCCACCTTATTTGTGAACTGCACTGTCTAATCTATTACCTGTGGTTTAGGAAACCTCGCTATGGCGCAGTCAGTTAGTGCTTTTATGGTGTACCATGCTTCTGTTGGTGATAAGTTACTGCCGGACCATTTCAACTTTGGTGAAAGTTGTCCATCAAATTTAATTAATCTAGGACAGAGGAATGCATGTGGTTGGTTAAATGATCTAATAAGAATGTTTAGCTGTGAAGGTGACTGGGTCTTCGATATCAACTCTACATAATGTACCCTATAGTAATTAATGCCTGTTTAGCTACAGTATGACAGGAAAGCTTTGTTACTTTACAGCATGGGATTACCCCCCCCCCCTCCCAGTGAATCCCCCCCCCCTAGAATATCTCTAACCTCTCCAATAAAGTGTTCAACCCCACCAAAATTTTGCTTCACCATTCCTATTTTGTGTGAAAGGCTTTATTACCTTTAACCCAAACGCCTAACCCCTGCCGAAGCTCACTGAGTGGTGCCGCTTGCACCCCACCAGAAATTTTTCTACCCCTCCTTTTACATAAATGAAAATCCGCCCTTGCTTTACAGTGAGTACTGTCCATGCTTATGTAGCCCGTGTGCAGGCCCACCGAGGGAAGAATAGTGGGCCTGCAAGGAAGATCGGGTGTTTTGTAAAACGCCCCTTTTCGTAACACGCCCCATTAGCGCGTCAATTGTCAAAAAAGAACCAATGACAGCAACCCAAATAGTATTAAACAAACTCGAATTAAAATGTTTCGGGGTTTTCTCTGCGTATTCAGAATGGAAAAATGTGTAAATGGCTATGTTTAACTCCAAAAAGGCAAGCAAACCAGTCAGCTTCAAATCATTGCCCAATTTGCAAGTGCTCATTTTCACTTACGTAATTTCACATTTTCACTTACGTAATTTTGGTAAAGAACTCGACAAAAGAAGAGAGAGTTCAGAGTCCAGATCTTTTCAAACGGCAATTACCATCTTCTGTTTCGCTCTCTCAGAGAGTAAGGCCTTCAAATCGCAAAGTGTTTCGAACAGGCTTACTTGCAACTACCTCTAAATCTTCACCACAAAAATCGCTGTTTTCTTCAGTGTAAGAGCAGAGTCAACATGAACCAAAACATAATTTTCTTAAGGAACATATAAACGTATCAAATTTGTTTGAAATTAACAAAACTCAAGTATTAAAAGGTTTATACTATAATTTACCCCAGTGGCAATGTTGCTATTCTAACACTTCATGACAAGCAATCCCGCTGGCATTACGGCAAAAACATCTCTTCCTTCAAGTAAACAATAAACGATCGGTTCTTGTACTGGTCATTAATCGAAAAAAGTGATCAGATCCAATATTAAGCTTATTGAGAGCTTTTGTGATGAATCACTGATCTAATTATAGAGTCTAACAGCAAACAGCCAATCAGAATGCTGCGTTCGTGTGCGAACACAACAAATACAAAATACCTGGTCTTCCTTGCAGGCCCACTATTCCCTCGGTGGACCTGCATGCAGCTAATGCTTATACAGTAATATACATTATACATAAGTGCATTGTACATACGATTCTATTAAGGTTCTCTTTCAAAGACTTAAACTTTAAACTCTGATTGCGCAAGGGATGATGGATTATTGATCTCTGGCATACTCTGAGTTTAAGGTTTGCTGTAAGCTCCGGTCTTACTGTTTGGAAGAATAACCTTAATTGAACAACCTTAATTGAGCAACCTATATATATATATATATATATATAGAAGAACAACCTATATATATATATAGGCGAATGTCAATAAGTATATTGAGTGTCGAATCATAAGAATAGAGTGCTCGATACGAAAGTAGAACAAATAAAAGACAAACTTGAGTTACTTTGTTTAAAACATTTATTCACGACAAATTTGTTTCGTATGGCAAACTAGGCCTGCCACACTCATCAGGTGAATGGTGATATCGCGTATTTACATGATCTTATAACCTATAGGTAACTTGAGCTGTTATATAGAGTTACCTATAGGTTACCTATAGGTTATAAGATCATGTAAATACGTGATATCACCATCCACCTGATGAGTGTGGCAAGCCTAGTTTGCCATACGAAACAAATTTATATATATATATATATATATATATATATATATATATATATATATATATATATATATATATATATATATATATATATATATATATATATAGCCTAAATGCTAAATGCATGTATAAACGTAATTATTTAGAAACATACTCTAATATTCAGTATTTGTAACTTATTACAGGCAATGCAGTTGTTGCTGCAGTTGGGATAAAGCGAAATGGTCTTTGTACTGTCCAGTCTGATGATGAAGAATTTGTCACGAAAAGAAACTTTAGAAAGCTGATGGATGGCAAGTAAAACAACTATAAGACTGTAGAATTTGTAGATGTAGATAGAGTACTCGACTTTCGTGTTTATATATTGTATTTATATTATTTCAAGAATTACACGGTTTCTAAACCAGGCATGCACATGTACATCTTAACTTTTTTCTATTAACTTATAAAAGGACCTTCTGAACCCCATGTCTCGAGATTTTCTGAACCCCATGTCTCGAGATTTATAATTTTTTGCATGATTTTTGCGGAATTCTATTTTTGAGGGTTCAGAATTTCTGAGACCCTTTTACAATATTGGGGCCAAAAGCCTTCACAAAACCCTTTAGTAAACGGCTTGCAAGGGGTTCAGAAATTCTGAACTCTGTGTCTCAATATTTATAATTTTTGCATGATTTTGCGGAATTCTATGTTGTAGGGTTCAGATTTTCTGAGACCTTTTTACAATATTGGGACCTAAAGCCTTCAGAAATCCTTTTAGTATTTGGCTTGTAAGGGGATCAGAAATTCTGAGCCCCATGTCTCCAGATTTATCATTTTTGCATGATTTTGCAGAATTCTATGTTGCAGGGTTCAGATTTTCTGAGACCTTTTTACACCATTGGGGCCTAAAGCCTTCAGAAATCCTTTTAGTATTTGGCTTGTAAGGGGGTCAGAAATTCTGAGCCCCATGTCTCGAGATTCATCATTGTTGCATGATTTTGCGGAATTCTATGTTGCAGGATTCAGATTTTCTGAGACCTTTTTACAATATTTGGGCCTAAAGCCTTCAGAAATCACTTTCATATTTTGGCTTCTAAGGGGTTCAGAAATTCTGAACTCTGTGTCTCAATATTTATCATTTTTGCATGATTTTGCGGAATTCTATGTTGTAAGGTTCAGATTTTCGGAGACCTTTTTACAATATTGGGGCCAAAAGCCTTCAGAAATCCCTTTAGAAATGGCTTGTAAGGGGGTCAGAAATTCTGAGCCCCATGTCTCCAGATTTATCATTTTTGCATGATTTTGCAGAATTCTATGTTGCAGGGTTCAGATTTTCTGAGACCTTTTTACAATATTGGGACCTAAAGCCTTCAGAAATTACTTTCGTATTTTGGCTTGTAAGGGGGTCAGAAATTCTGAGCCCCATGTCTCAATATTTATAATTTTTGCATGATTTTGCGGAATTCTATGTTGTAGGGTTCAGATTTTTTGAGACCCTTTTACAATATTGGGACCAAAAGCCTTCAGAAACCCTTTAGTAAATGGCTTGCAAGGGGTTCAGAAATTCTGAACTCTGTGTCTCAATATTTATAATTTTTGCATGATTTTGCGGAATTCTATGTTGTAGGGTTCAGATTTTCTGAGACCCTTTTACAATATTGGGGCCAAAAGCCTTCAGAAAACACTTTAGTAAATGGCTTGCAAGGGGTTCAGAAATTCTGAACTCTGTGTCTCAATATTTATAATTTTTGCATGATCTTGCGGAATTCTATGTTGTAGGGTTCAGATTTTCTGAGACCCTTTTACAATATTGGGGCCAAAAGCCTTCAGAGAACCCTTTAGTAAATGGCTTGCAAGGGGTTCAGAAATTCTGAACTCTGTGTCTCAATATTTATAATTTTTGCATGATTTTGCGGAATTCTATGTTGTAGGGTTCAGATTTTCTGAGACCCTTTTACAATATTGGGGCCAAAAGCCTTCAGAGAACCCTTTAGTAAATGGCTTGTAAGGGGGTCAGAAATTCTGAGCCCCATGTCTCCAGATTTATCATTTTTGCATGATTTTGCAGAATTCTGTGTTGCAGGGTTCAGATTTTCTGAGACCTTTTTACAATATTGGGGCCTAAAGCCCTCAGAAATCCTTTTAGTATTTGGCTTGTAAGGGGGTCAGAAATTCTGAGCCCCATGTCTCGAGATTCATCATTTTTGCATGATTTTGCGGAATTCTATGTTGCAGGGTTCAGATTTTCTAAGACTTCTTTACAATATTGGGCCTAAAGCCTTCAGAAATCACTTTAGTATTTTGGCTTCTAAGGGGTTCAGAAATTCTGAACTCTGTGTTGAGATATTTATCGTTTTTGCATGATTTTGCGGAATTCTATGTTGTAAGGTTCAGATTTTCTGAGACCTTTTTACAATATTAGTTTCATATTAATCTGACACTGCAATCGAGCAACGAAAAATTCGTTGGCTCGAGCGGGATACCCGAAGATGCGAGTTCAAATCCCGCTCGAGCCAACGAATTTTTCGTTGCTCGATTGCAGTGTCAGATTAATATGAACCTAGTTTTTCCTATCTCTGAGGATGGTTTTTACAATATTGGGGCCAAAAGCCTTCAGAAATCCCTTTAGTAAATGGCTTGTAAGGGGGTCAGAAATTCTGAGCCCCATGTCTCCAGATTTATCATTTTTGCATGATTTTCCGGAATTCTATGTTGCAGGATTCAGATTCTCTGAGTCTTTTTTGCAATATTGGGACCTAAAGCTTTTTCAGATTTTCTAAATCTCTTTTAAGGATTGTATTTTATCAGTGGACTTTGATGTGGGATATATTTTAACTAAATAGTGTAGTTGTACGGAACGAATTTAAATTTTAAGGTTTTTCCACAAAAATACGATTTTTAGCCAGAAATCCGACTTGTCCGCATAATTACGTTTCTTTTTTAAATTCGGCGGAAAAAATGCTACTTTGGAAAATCCCAATTTAGTTTGGAACGCGTTTTTTTTGTAAACACGCGTTGCGTGTATTCCACACAATTGCGTGACTCATTTTACTCGCGCATGCTCAGACAAATTTCCCACCTGTTCGACGACACCGTATGGGGGGCCTTTAGCACTGTCACCTTCTCATCTTGGGATGTTCACGTTATCGCGTGTACATGTCAGGGTGACGAAGATGCATTATTGCTAATAATGTCTGTCTGCACTGATGCACGCTGCATTATTTTTAATAATGTTGTGTGCTATTTTAACGCGTACATAGAATATGACGCGTATAAGCATTTACCCCTGAGCAGGAAATTCCCTATACAACCAAAAAGGCCGCTCCCGTTTTTCAGTAGAACGTTAAATGAAAACTTCTCGACATTCGCTGATATAATGCAGAGAGAAAACAATAGGTTTGATGAGGGCCAGTAATTATTATCAATAAAATATTAAAACGGAGCTTTGATTAACTGATTCACCATTTATACTAGTGAACTATTAAACTATCGTGATTCACACAATTTTTGGATATTTACCAGACGATCCCCTATCCACCGACCCGAGGTTAACGCCGAGTCGGCGTCTTGTTCTAATAGGTTTCTCGAACACGCGTCATTTTATATGCTTGCGCAACTTTGTACACGCGAGGGAGTAACAACTGAGTAATTACATACCAGTGAACTTTATTTAAACTGGAACGATAACTTGGCCGCCATCGTTCAAGCTAATATGAAGTACAGTGCGTACCGAATTGACGTACAGCGCCAGTCCGTTTGTATTGTTTTTGTTTCAAATTGGCTTCAAATATGGCAGCCAAATTTCAGTCAGTTATCGTTTCAGTCTAAATAGAGTTCATTATGCAATTACTTTATGGTTTCCATGTTTGGATGGCCTTTGGATCCAAACACGCGGGAATGTTGCGAAAGTTAAGAAAAGCGCGCGTAATCACACGAGCCGAAGGCAAGTGATTTTGCGTGCTTTTCTTAACTCGAGATATCATGTTCAACACTCGAAATAAATCTGGTATTTCCAAGGACCCATGTATTTTTCTGTCGGACAGTCGTTGAAAAGCGATAATTTTTACAGAAATTAAAAGCGGTGATTGAAAAGCGATGATTTTCACATGTGAGATTATCACTTTTATCAGTGCTCGAAATCTCTGTAAAGCAGTACTTAATATAATAACAAACAATAAACGATATCACTCCTTGGCTTCTTGTGTGGCAACATTGACGTAAACGCGAGCTGCAGCGTTCAGTCACAGATGAATTACATACAGAGGTCTTACTTCAGGTTAATTTAGCGTAATTGATTGTTTCAGTCCGCCATGTTCCATCACTCCCCTGAAAACATATTGAAATTCAAATTCAAGGTTGCAAGGGGGGGCGGGGGTTGTGTGAATGCCTCTCTTTACCGGACTGGCTAAGAACATGACCGCCAGCTATTTTTGTAAAAACGGTTTTCCAGCAGAAGTGAGACCTCCGTATGTACCTACTCTGTGGTTCAATGTTGATCAATTACTAATACTTCATGTTAAATCAATGTTTGGAAAATATGGGCGAAGGGTTACTGCATGCATGTATTTCTAGTAGAGTAATATATATCACGAGTGTGAAAGACCAGATCTTGAGCAATAGTGCTTGGTGTTTTGCATCCCATTCAGCATACCCGACTAAACATTTATATAAGAAAATGGTTGTTTTTAAACCTTGTTGTTAATAGTGTAGACCCAAGCATAGATTAAAGTGTGTGCAACGATTCATTATTTGGCCGCTCGGAGAGATATCCGATCGCAATAAATATTCCACCGAAATATTAGTAAATGAATGCTTTATTGATCAAGAGGTCGGCAAACAGTAGCCGAGCTCTCAGATTGCCATAATTTCGAGCTAAATATTTTCGCCCTATATATTCCCTTTAAAAAATTGAAAGCAAATGTATATGAATTGTATGCAAATTAGTATACAAACGGTGGCCATTTTGTCGTTAATTTCTGGTAATGCATCAGAAAAGAACTGGAACAAGATGAAGGCATGAAGAGTTACTTTGACAACTACGATCTGGTTGATCATTTGGAACCTCGTGATTCCTTCTTTGGTGGACGAACCAACGCTGCAAAACTTTTCCACGAATGTAAAGATGGTGAGAAAATAAGGTAAGATGATTTCGTAATAAAATGATAGGAACGATTATGACGTCAAAGCAAATATATTGATAACGTCATTTCTTTCGGCTTTACGAGCCTTTATCCCTGGTGCAACAAAATGAGTCAGACAGTTGTTGGCCATCCTCGCATCATAACCGAAAATTTCGAAGATAACTTGACTTACTTCGGCTTGATTAAATGTACAGTACTCCACCTCGAGCTCTTTTCCATCCCGTTCTGCCCTATCGCACACAAGGTAAATTGATGTCCCCCTTATGCAAGTCCTGCGCTGATGCGTGTGATCAAACCCCATGTACCCATCCCGATCACGAAAGAGCCATCCAATGAACATGGTGCAGCGTAGATTTGGAGAAAGCCCTGGAGAAAGGTTACCGAATTCTACAAATGCACGAAGTATAACATTTTCCCGAATCCTCGGACGGATTGTTCCAAGATTATGTGGACACCTTCTTCAACTCTTCAAGATCAAGCAAGAGTCGAGTGGTTGCCCCAAGAATTGTACCACAAAAGAACAGAAACAACAGTACGTAGACGAATACCTTGCAGTTGAAGGAATACTGAAGCAAAATCGAGCACAATCCAAGCATGCGTGCGTCATCCAAACTGATACTAAATTCGTTTTGGGGTGTGTATTCTAAACAGCTATTTTCTGAGCGCAAAAGTTTTTAGGTGGCGTCCGAACTCGTGCAAACTCTGCAAATACTCATAATATATTTTCCACCATAGGTAAATTTACGCAACGTCCCAATATGACCAAAGTGAAATTGATCAGCGACATGCAAACGTTTCTCGACCATCTGACATCGGACGAGATCAATGTTCTATGTGCAAATTTCGAAAGTGATGAAGTGATCGAGATCCACTACGAAAACAACGAGAATTTCGTAGCGCCAAGCTCCAAGACCAACATGGTCATCGCCGCTTTTACCACCGCCTATACCCGACTTAAGCTCTAAGGGGCGCTGGACGAATTGCAAGAAAGAGTGTTGTACTATGATACGGATTCTTTAATATTTGTCAGCAAACCGGCGTAACCAGAGCCCCCGTTAGTCCTTATTACGGTCAACTAACGGATGAATTGAAAGAATGTCACATTACAACCTTCATATCAGGGGGACAGAAGAATTATTGCTTTTGGACTAGTTCCAAAAAGTGGAAACAAAGATACGAATCACATCGAATTGTACTGCAAAGCAAAGAGTGTACTTTGATGTCATGTAACCGTGGATATCCAGTGCCGTACCCAGAACGATAATTGGGAGGGGGAGGGGGGCACAAAATAAAAATTCGTGTTCTGGTTTATTAATTTCTTTTTAAATCAATTGTTTTATGGTATGTGAACACGAATATATGAATATGTGCCCCCCCAATTATCATTCTGGCTACGGCACTGTGGATATCCCGCTCAAGAAAACTCAAAACCCAAACCATTCAAACGAAACGTATAAAAAAGGACTATCGCATTGCTTATAATAAACGTGTAATTGTGGACGATTACAAACATTACGTTATGGGTATTAACTTTGTGAATAATGTCAAACAGTTTCAAATAAATGTTTGTACAAGATCGTTTGATCTCAAATTTAATTTTCAATGTTCAATTTGTGATAATGACCCAGAATCACACCGGTTTCTTCTTCCAACGTAGTGACCTGCTTTTCATTTTTTCTAGCCGAGTCCCACATGATTGATTGTTTCCTTGGCGTTCATACGGTAGATAAAGTTGTTCTCCTGGGGGCCCGAGGTACCGTTAAACACGTCAATTTTTCCAATATGATCGACGTTAACATGATCGATGCAGGGTCGGATTGTCAATAACTAGTGTTACTGGTGTCATATTTTTCTCTATCGAAAGCCTCTTCAAATCCGAGGTTGGCAAATTTACCTTTTGCGTTATGATTTTGTGGCGAGTTATGAAAAAAACCCTTTGCAAATTAACAAATCATTTGGCAGACATTCACCGTCTATCAAGTGAAGAAAGACGTATTTATCTGAGTGACGCCAAGTCATCCTGCACAGATAAAAAAAGCTTGGATAGATAATTAGGATAACGGGGCATTTACCTCATCTCACAACGGCGATGTTTTCGATAGTGATGACGAGAAAGACTAGGAATCCAAGGATAGTGCAGAGTTTCAAAGACATACGCTATAAGGCATGCTTATTAATTGAATAGTAGCTTTAATCACACGTCGTAGTAGCGCGCGGAACTGTTACAACAGTAAAAAGGCTAAGAGTTAAGTCTCTTTACTTACTTTATTTTTCTTTGTTGTTGAGGGAGGAGGGGAGGTTGGGGGTTCATATATTATTCTATATATTTTACTATTTTATATATCACGCCCCTCCTGTAAATCAGCTTTCAGTTGTGCGAGGCTAGCGTGTTTTCATTTTAAATAAAAATGATTGATGATGATGATGATGATGATGTCACGCAACAAATGTTATGCTACAATTCGTGACATCATATGGCGGGAAAATAGTTCCTGACGTCATACATGGCGGGAAAATCACGCTCATCGTGGGGACTTTATTGTTGACTTTATTGTTGACTCACTCTTAACAGGTCATTAGTTTTATACAATTCATCATGTCTTTAATAAACAACAACAACATATTGGAAGTAATCAATTAATTACTCACACGTTGACAATCCTGACTAAGTCTCCGAGTTCACTTGAATATCGGCCTTGACGGCAAGCGTCTCTTGCATTGATCCACGATGTGTACTCACTGGGATCAGTATGAAATTGATAACAATAACGACCATGCGCAATCCAACCTGAAGCGCAATAACCATCTAAAAGATTAATTAAAGTTGGCGCATTATTTAAAGGTATACTACTGACAGTTTTTCGCTATCTTACCTTGTATTAACCATATATAGAAATAATAGATAAAAAATGCATACTTAATCACGAATCATGTCTCCATTTTTTCTCATGCGTGCCCTTATAAATCTGCCATATTGAATTTGACTGGGTCTGTAGGAGAGAGGATAGACCTGTATAAAAAAGGTTGACGTCAGCAGAATTGTGACGTAGTTTGCGGAGAAAATCCCGAAAGCTCAGAATTGTTTACTTGTTCTGAGTTTTTTAAGAGCCAAAAGAAGCCAGTATTATGGTAAGTTTGAAGTAAATTTTTCTATATATAGGCCAAATGAGTTTTCATATTCGTCGGAGTTTAAATTTTTTCGCTTTTTTGGCTTTTAAAAAACTCAAAACAAGTAAACAACTCTGAGCTTTCGGGATTTTCCCCGCAAACTACGTCACAAGCCTGCTGACGTCAACCTTTTTATAAAGGTATATTGCAAAGTATAAACAAAGCAAAGACTAAGTTTTCATCGTCCGTTGTGCATTTACAAGAACGGTGAAAATTGTGCAGCCTTGTAGAAACAACGTAATTTCGCGTAAACAAACGTTTTTGCATGCTCTGAGCATCCCCGTTTCGCTGATATCTCATTGAATTACAAAATAATAGTTCATTCTTCGCCGAGTTCCGTTTTTCTTCAAACTAAATGAAGTGCTAAATGAAATATTTTCATGTTTTTAAAACAAAAATTATATAAAAAAATGTTTAGGAACGAACTTTCCCTATGTCTCATGTTAATAGTATATTTTGTGTTCAATATATAGATCACAGTAAGACTTTTTTTTAAATGTTTATTTCATTAACAAACAAAATGTTTGTTAAAACTCTTTTTCACCACAGCCCAGTCGCGTCGTTCAGCACTGGATGATTGCAAGAAATTTAATATCTTCGGTTCGGTGCATGCTATGAAGACAGAAATACCACCATTCGATTCAGAAAGAAAAGATTCAACTAATTCCTCCCTATAGTTATAGTCATTATCAACATTGTAGCGATTTATAGTCTTTGAAAGTCAAACACGGTAATATTGTATCAAATTACGCAATTGTCTGAACAAAAATATAGACTAGCCGTACCTTTCGCCGAAAATAACTTCGGCCCCTTCGAACATATCATCTTTGTAATATTCTTGTTAGAATCCCCATTAAAAACACTACTTAGAGTGTTACTTGCAAGCCTGTATCTTTAAATCTGTATCTTTTATCAATATATTTCCATTTCTTGTCCGACTGTGAGCTCGAAGTGAGTTAATCCCAACCGGAAATACGACTGAAAACCATCAAAACAATGCGATGTTTGTATCGTATGACCCTGGAAAGGCCAGAAATGGATTCGGAAGGTCAAATTGCACCTACACGCGTGAGTTAGACGTCATCCCGACCAAAGGAGCTTCTTATTGGCCAATTATTGCGCAATGTACGCAAATGCGAGTAAAACCCGACATCTTGAAAAATTCAAAATAAATATTCCTAGTCGGCGTATACATACGAAACTTTCTACACGAAAGCGCTTGAATACAAAGAGTATTTTACACATATAGCCGTTCAGCAAATGTCGAAAAGTTCAAGGGGTATTCATGATCTTGTGGATATGAAATTTAAAATCTTTGGCCAAGCGGTGAGTAAATATATGATTGTTTCGGTTTGTGTAATGTTCTGACGGCACTTGACCCCCCGTTCGAAAGGTTATTTTATGAGGATTACAATGGTGGCTTTTATTTAAAAGGGGGG